GGCGGGCCGGCGGCACTGGGGTTAATGTCCGCCTCGCCCCGGCCGCGCTGACTCAGTTTCACCAGAAACCAGAGGGGAGGAGGTGGCCGATCCCCAGCGCACCAGGCATCGGGGCGGAAGCGGCGTCCCGAGCCGCGCTGGAGGCCGGGACCGGAACCTCGGCCCCACCCCACTCACCTGCGCAGGTAACCCGGGCCTGGGAGAGCGAGGCGGAGGCGGAGCGGTTTGGAGCATGCCCTTTGTTCTGCGCCCGTGCGTGTGTCCGGGTACGTGAACTCTAGCCGTCTAGTGGCTGGGTCGCGGGAGTGTGCGTAAGAGGATCGGGCCTGCGTGCCCCACTTCACTCCCGGGGTGCACGGTGCTCCTCCGTCCTCCTCTTCACTTCCTCCCGGCCGGCCCGCCTCCTTTGAAGTCTCCTGGCTGATCCGGTGTCTCCTCCTCCCTCCCCTCCCCTTTCTCAGGTCGCTAGCACCCTCGGAGCCCAGAAGCCCGCACTGTGAAGGTGACCCCTGTGGGGAGGAGGGCGATGGTCCCTGGGAGGACGATGGCGGGGGCCTGCCTCTCCCAAGCCCGCACTCTGGCGGTCGCCGTGTGGCTTCTGGGCGCAATCGGCCTCCTGCGCACCCAGGCCGGGCCACCGCCGGTGCCCCCCGGTCTGCTTACGGCAGACAACTGCCTGGGCCGCTTTACCCCCGGGGTGCCTGCCTTCGTGCTGGACACCAACGCCTCGGTCAGAAACGGGGCCACCTTTCTGCGCTCCCTCACCGTGCGCCGCGGCCGGGACTGCGTGCATGCCTGCTGCAGCTCCGAAAACTGCAATCTGGCGCTGGTGGAGTTACAGCCCGACGGCGGGGAAGACGCCATCGCCTCCTGCTTCCTCATCGACTGCCTCTACGAACAGAACTTTGTGTGCAAGTTCGCACCCAGGGAGGGTTTCATCAACTACCTCAGGCGGGAGGTTTACCGATCTTACCGCGAGCTGCGGACCCAAGGCTTTGTAGGTAAGGACGAGGGTGGCGGGATGGGTGGATCTGGGACGACCCAGAGAAGGGGCTGGTTATGGAGTCCTGCGCGAGGCCAGCATCAGAAAGGAGTTAGGAGGAGAGACCCATTCTACCCCAACTCCTCCTTAGAAGTAGGCTGCATAAACAGTAAATGAAGGACACAGGCTACAGGAATGGGGGGTGGGGTGACATTCTAGAGCCCAGAATGGCTCCTAAATTCAGAATGGAGAGTGGGCTGGTGCTCTGGGATGTGTGTATGGGAACCAGGAGGCAGCTTCCGGGGATTCCCACTTCTGGCCCTAATAGGCCTGGCCAGGGCAGGGAGTGAACTGTCTGGAGGCCACTTGGTGACTAGATAGGTTTTCCCGGCCAAGCACTGTCCTAGGCACCTTGAGGCCATCAAGTGAACCCGGTGAAGGATAGGCTCCATCTCCACTGCTGGGATTGGTTATAGCATCTCCCTGCACCCTTCCTCCAATGTATTGGACTTTCGGTGGTTTGGGGAAAACTGCCAGATCCCCAGAGTCTGAAAAACAAACCCAGTCTGGGGGTGACCCAACTAGGGAGGGAGCAGTATTGTGGGCACAGGAGCCTAGAGGCTCTGGGGTGGGTGAGGAGGGTTTCTGGCTGAGTCAGCCCAATGGTATGTATACCTGGTAGGGAAGGGATGTCATCTCTTTAGGCAAGTGTATGTGTGTGTGCACACTCGTAAGCAGTCAGGGCTCTTCCTGCTTAGGATCTGGTAGCCAAGCTGTCTGCTCACCTTGTTTACTTCCAGGCAAAGTGGGACCCGGGGCTCCTCCTCTTTCCTCCTGGGACTGAGCAGTTAACTGGGATCAGGGCCTCTCCAGAGACCTTCGTTCCCCATTCTCTCCACCTGCTATTCTGGCCAGGTGGGGCTCCAGGGCAGGGATGGGTCACACTGATAACCTCTATTAGTACTTTACAGTTTGCTGATTGCTGTGCCACTCAGCCTCTCACTTAGGCATCAGGACAACCACCTCTGAAAAGGGTGCTATTAGTAGTTGTCCCACTTTTTAGATTAGGAAACTGGCTCCCATGTTAAATAATTTGCCCAGGATAACACTGCCCACAAATGGGAGACCTAGGACTCAAGCCCAGGCAGGATCGCCAAAATTCCTGTGCTCTTTTCCACATAAGAGCACCTTTCTGGTAGAAAACCTGTCTGACAGCCTAGCGGACAACAGAACCAGAGACTGGGGTACCCAGGGGCCAGGACTGGCTGGGGCTGAGTCGCGGTGCTCAGTTCTGGCAAGCGGAGAAGGGATTTCTCTGTCCACCCTTTTCCTGGTTAAGGGCCTGCTCTTCTCCCCGTCCTCCCAATAGCTCTCCTGGAGCTCTGAGGAGAGGTGGAATGGAGATTCCGGGAGGGAGACACTGTCTCTGGGCTAGGCTGGGCCACTGGTTCCCTCTGGATCAGGGCCTGAGCCTGTTCCACAAGAAGCAGCAGAGTGTAGGTGGTGATGACTCTAATTGACCTGAGATGCCTGTGCCCTCCCTGCTCTGACAAGACCCATCGGAGTCCCACTGCTGAGCCAGTGCCTAAAACTCTGGGGTCTGGTCAGAGAGCAGAGCTAGACGAGGCTTTCCTCTTCTGGAAACCTCCCCACCCCCTGACTGGCCTAGCTGACAACTCAGGATGGTGTTGGGATTTCCTGGGGCCTGTGGGGGGCTGGCTAAAGCTTAGACTTAGCATGAACCCTAGCCATTTCAGGGCACTGCACTGTTTGGGTGAGTGGAGGATGCTGTGTGTGTGTGTCAGGGAGTCCATTCTCAGCTAAGCCTGGCCAGAGAGGTTGGAAGTGGGTACAAACATTATGGCATCCTGGAGGCTAGGCCAGGGGAGACCGAGGCAGGCAAGGTAGGCGAGTGTTCAGGGGTTTTTTGATTCTTGCACTGGGGAAATCCCCTGCAGGGTGGTTCGATCTGTTCCCCTTTCCCTGCCTGTGGCTAGGCTGGTCCAATCCAGATTCCTGGGGCCTCCTGAGTACCTGGGTCCTTCCTCTCCCTTCCCCTGCTCTCCCCCACTTTCTGAGGGAGGAGTGGCTTAGAAGGTGGAGTCTGTTGCCCTGGAGATGTCCTGAGGCCTGGTAGCTGGGGGAGGGGCTGGCTTTATTGCCACTCTGGCCCTCTGCTCTCTTGGGGGTGGGACAAAGGGAGTGGTAGGGCAGGGCATCTGCCCCTTGCTCCTAGGGGCTGGGACTTGGAGAGGACCAGCTGCGTGTGGGTGGACATTGCTGATTTGGCCCAAGGTCTGACATATCACTCTGCTGCCACTTCCACCCTGGGGGCCGATGGGGCTAGCCCTGTCTGTCTGCTAAGTAGACTGCCAAGTAATCTGTCTTCTTTCCCCTTTCAGACTGCTGATTACTTTTTGAAAAATGCAAGGTGGGAGGAATGGGCTTCTCCCAGCTCACTGCCCCCTTGGCTTGGCCTCTCACCTCAGGGCCTGGGGCTGGCCCCTGCTGGGCCCTCAAGCCACCCGCTGAGGTTTGGTTCCAGACAAGTACTTGCCTGCTCTCCCAGCCTCACTTCCCCTCAACCCCTGTAACCTTGGTTCCCTTTTCTCATTCCTGGAGGCCTCTGCACCTTCTGACATGTTTCTCCTTTGAAGCTCTCCTCTCCCATCCCTTTTCTGTCACTGTGTGTCCTGGTCTTCTCACTTCTGGGACCACCCTCTGTAAGTCCCCTATTGGCTCTGCTTCCTCTGCCTCATCAAAGAGGATTCCCTGTGACTCAGCCTCCTACCAGGTGTTCTTATCTCTTTACCTTCTTCGCTTCAGTTGAACACACTCTTCCACTTGACACACCCTCTGCAGAGCCTCTGTGGAGGGCAGTTTTGGCAATATCCATCAAAAATTGAAATGCACATAACATAACCCCAACACAGTTCCACTTGCAGGAACTAATCCTGCGGCTATACTTAAACATGTGGAAAACAACTTACCAGCCAGTCACTCACTGTATTGTTTATAAGAGCAGAGAATTGGAAACAATCTAGGTGTCTGTCAGCACATCCTATAATTGGATACTGTGGTGCTGTTTTAATAATAATAAACCCTGAAGCAGCATGGGTTAGTTCTTAGGAAGAAAGGAAGAATCCAAATTAAGAGATCCAAATGTTGTAAATTATGGCACATTCATACAATGGAGTACTATGCAACCGAAAAAAGTTTGTTCCGTGTTGCTATGAAATGATTTCCAGTATGTGTTAAGGGAAAAGCAAGACGAAGAACCTGCATGCTTGTGAATTCAATTCTCTCTCTCTTGATATTTACACATACACACACACCCCCAGACTAGTAAGAGTGGATGCCTCTGGAGAGAGGAACCTGAAGGGTTAAGAAGAGGGGACTTAATTCTCACTACCCTTTAGTATTTTTAAAATTTTTCATTATGTACGTGTATTACCTAAGCTAAAAACAAAAACAAAACCGTAACATTATAAAGGCAATCAAAATCATAGCTCTAAGCAGGTATGACCTGCAGCATGGCGCTTTGATGTTTTGGAGAGAGCATGAGTCAGAACCTGATTCAAATCCCAGCTCTGCTGTTTAGAAACTCAGCAACCCTGAGCAAGTCACTTAACCTCTTTGGTGTCAATTTTCTCATGTGGAAAGAATGCATTTGTGGCAGGATGGTTAGGAAGGTAGGCGATGTAGATCAGGGTCAACAAACTTTCTGTGAAGGTTCAAATAGTAAATATTTTAGGCTTTGTGGGCCATATAGTGTTGGTTACAACTGCTCAGCTCTGCCATTGTAATGTCAAAGCTGCCATCCATGATATGTAAATAAATAGGTGAATCTGTATCTTAATTTATGGATACAAATTTGAGTTTTATGTGCTTTTCACATGTCACAGAGTGTTAATTAATTTTTTTTTCAATCATTTAAAAATATAACAGGTGGTGGGCTAGATGTGGCCCATGGGCTGTAGTTTGGCAACCCCTAATGGAGATGCTGCAGGTAAAATACCTAGCCTGGTACCCGGCACACTTCAACAAGGGGCAGCTTTGTTAATGACTCCAGATCTTTATCCATCTCTGGCTTCTCTGGAGCTCCCTCTGTGCACCTCCCCTCTGGATGGTTTTCCCTCCCTCAAATTCAACTTCTCTCTGACTAAAACCACATGTTCCTGCTCTACCTGATTTCCCTTCCGCTCTTGCCCTGGCTCTCCTTCCCCAGTTCCCAGCACCTGTCAGTCACGGAAGCCTGAAGCGTCTGCCCAGAATTGTTTCTCACATCCTCCTTTCCATCTCTCAGCTGTCCCTTACTTTAGATCACTCCTAT